TATGGATTGTCGATTATAGATTATAGGTTATCGATTAATGATTATGGATTAATGATTATTGATTAATGATTATTGATTAATGATTATTGATTAATGATTATTGATTAATGATTATTGATTAATGATTATGGATTAATGATTATTGATTAATGATTATGGATTAATGATTATTGATTAATGATTATTGATTAATGATTATTGATTAATGATTAATGATTAATGATTATTGATTAATGATTATTGATTAATGATTAATGATTAATGATTATGGATTGTCGATTATAGATTATAGGTTATCGATTAATGATTATGGATTAATGATTATTGATTAATGATTATCGATTAATGATTATGGATTGTAGATTATAGTTTATAGATTATAGATCATAGCTTATAGATTATCGATTAATGATTATAGATTATAGATTATAGATTAAAGATTATAGGTTATAGATTATGGATTGTAGGTTATAGATTATCGATTAAGATTATCGATTAAAGGTTATAGCTTATAGATCATAGCTTATAGATTATAGATCTTTTAGACTATCTTTTCTATCGGATTCTCTTGAAAAACTCCCGCTTGACATTCATTTCATCATCTTGGCTTCTCCAGAGGTGAAAAGCGGAAATTTTAGAGGTGTTTAGTGCAACGTTTTTTTTTAGAAAACTCGCGAAACGATTGGCCGCATTGAGTCGACGGATCTCTGCTCGGGCATTCACTCGATTGCTTTCCTCGATCAGGTTTTCGGTTTTCAAAATTCACTGCTTTATTTAAAGAGGAGAATTTGCTTGAGTTTTGCTTTAAGTTTGAAGAAAACTTCAAAAAACCAACCTTAATCTTTAATCGCTTTTAATTTCATTTAAAAGCTTCAGGATTTCTCTCTGGATTCAATCGAAACTTCTTGCAATCTCACGGCAATCTCGAGCCTTAATGAAAAGCCAAAGAAAATCGAGAAGCACTTGGTAAAGAGTCGAAAAAGAATTGGTATCTTTAAACTATTAAATAGCTAACTTTAAACTATTCCGTTTTTTCTCTAATAGTAAGGCGTTCTGAGTGTTGCGTAAAATTCCTCGAAATCTCGAGAACCGCTTATTGAGCGCTTATCGCTTATCACCTATCGATGTGGGGTCTTTTCATGTAGCTGACGATGAGATCTAGTGGGGGATTCGAGTGTTGAGCTTCTGCAGCTCCTACAGCTTCTGCAGCTTCTGCAGCTTGGGATGATCTAGTGGAGGATTCGAGTGTTGAGCTTCTGCAGCTCCTACAGCTTCTGCAGCTCCTACAGCTTCTGCAGCTCATACAGCTTCTGCAGCTCCTACAGCTTCTGCAGCTTCTGCAGCTTGGGATGATCTAGTGGGGGATTCGAGTGTTGAGCTTCTGCAGCTCCTACAGCTTCTGCAGCTCCTACAGCTTCTGCAGCTCCTACAGCTTCTGCAACTCCTACAGCTTCTGCAGCTCCTACAGCTTCTGCAGCTCCTACAGCTTCTGCAGCTCCTACAGCTTCTGCAACTTGGGATGATCTAGTGGAGGATTCGAGTGTTGAGCTTCTGCAGCTCCTACAGCTTCTGCAGCTCCTACAGCTTCTGCAGCTCCTACAGCTTCTGCAGCTCCTACAGCTTCTGCAGCTCCTACAGCTTCTGCAGCTTCTGCAGCTTGGGATGATCTAGTGGGGGATTCGAGTGTTGAGCTTCTGCAAAAGTGCTCTCGTGCAACTATCGAGTTCTGCAGCCAGCGAATAGATTCGGAATAGATGAAAATCAAAAAGGGGAAAGGTTTGGACTGTGCGGTGAATATCTAGTTTTTGAGAGAGAACTTCCCAGTCTAAATCCTTTCATTTTTCTCGTGTCACCAGCTCTGTGTGCCCGTTTTCGGAGGAATGTTACTTGAAAATTGTGATTTTCTTAGGCTAGATGTTTAAAAATATCGAAAATCATTCAAATATTCTATCTAAATAGATCTAATTCTAAATTTAAATAGATTTTGCAAAAACTCGATATTCAATGGGGTTCTATGAAACTAGATTCTATAAAAATCGTGCTTTTTCAACCTTTTTTTCTTTCCACTGGTTCATCTGAAGTCGAGCTCTCGAAAAATGGTATTCAGATTTGTATTCACATTCAGATTCAGATTCAGCGAGGTATAGGAAATGACAATGACAAAGAAAAAGGGCACCATGCTTTCCTCAGAGCATGAGGAAGCCACCAGGCATTGAGTTTTCGGTTGAATGCACACAAATACAGGTGCCCACCTGGAGAGATCAAGCTGGATGGCTAACCACAAGAAGTCACAGTTGAAGAAGTCACCTCTTACATCTACCTCGGAGGAAGCATCAACATGGAGGGAGACCTAAGACCAGAAGTTGGCAGAAGTCGACAGAAGTCGACAGAAGAAAACGAGCGGCCTGGACAGCACTAGGGAGCATCAAAGAAGTCACAAAGATACTCAAGAAGCACTAGACTCCAAGAAGCACTAGACTCCAAGAAGCACTAGACTCCAAGAAGCACTAGACTCCAAGAAGCACTAGACTCCAAGAAGCAACAGACTCCAAGAAGCAACAGACTCCAAGAAGCAACAGACTCCAAGAAGCACTAGACTCCAAGAAGCAACAGACTCCAAGAATCACCAGAATACACGACGCTACGATTGACATTACCCTAAAACATAAGAAATTCAGTGAAAAGAAATTACCGTAAATACTGTAATTGGACCCCACCCCTCTAATAGTACCCCCCCTCTAATAGTACCCCACCCTAGAGGGGGAGGGAAAAAATAATACCCCACCCCTCTAATAGTGCCCCACCCCTCTAATAGTACCCCACCCCCCACCTAACGTGTAACTACAAACAACTCTTTTAAAGCGGAAAATTTTCATGTATTTTCAGAAATCGTTTGTATTTTTAATTTTATCCCATAAATTTGTTGTTTTTAAATTTGGGGTAGCTACTTTGCGCCAAATTTTTTGCGCAGCTCGCCATAACTTTCTTCTAAGTGGGCCAATCTTTATGATTGTAGATCTCAACAAGTGCAACAAAGTAACACCAAAATAATAAAGATTGGTCCACTTAGAAGATTTGAACCACTTAGAAGCCACTTTAATATCGGTTGAGGGGATTGATATCGGTTTGGCTGAATGGATACGGGATCGTCGAGCCGGGAAGAAACGAGTGACACGCCGGATTATCTGAAATGAAGCGGCTAATCAATTCGAAAAAGCTGAAATTTCTTTCAAAAGAACCCATGGCTGGATGGAGTCGTTCTTGAGGCGCCATCAACTTTCTTTGAGGGCACCAACTTGTCAAAAGCTGCCGACCAAATTTGAGAAGGCCATCGTCGCGCACATTCTGAGGCTGAACAAGACAATCAAAGAAGGCGATTACAAGCACATTGTTGCTTGCGATGAGACGGCGGTTTGGCTGGATGCTTCGACGAGCAAGTGTATCGAAGCGGTTGGAGCCAAAGAAGTTGGTGTTCTCACCCGCGGCTATGACAAGATGAATATATCCGTGATGCTCACTGCTCGTTCCGATGGGAAAAAGTTGCGCCCTTTTGTCGTGGTGCATCGGAAAACGATGAACGAAAAAATCGAGACAAAGCTCCAATCAAAATCATTGCTCTGTTGGAAAGAGAAGAAACGCAAGTGCTTCGATAATGAGATCATAGGCGGAATACTTGTAACGCTCTTTCGGTGGACTTATCTTTAATCTATTGTACAGGCGATGAGAAATGCACGGACAGAGACAGAAATTGAGGAACTCTTGGAGCCGCTCGCATCAACGGGATTTCAAGGACATCCAGGAATTGATGATCAAGAAAATAATGAATTCATTCAGTGATAACTGACTATTGATTTCGCTTGTTAGTTGTTTTTGTTTCGTTTTGCTGTTAAATTTTCAAATGGCTGAAACCAATAAAAACTAAAGGAAAAGTTTGCTTTTGAACAGATTATTTGGATGTATCCTGATTTGGTAACTCGAATAGTGGTGTAAAATAGTAACCCACCCTCTAATAGTGCCCCACCCTCTAATAGTACCCCACCCTAGAGGGGGAGGGGAAAAATAGTACCCCATGGGGTCCAATTACAGTATTTACGGTAGTGCTATTTAGAAAACAATTAGGGATATTCCTTTTGGGAATCTATTAGCAAATCTATTAGCAAACAATAACTATTCCCGACAGCTTCATAACGTGATAGTTGGCGCAGTAGATGCGTAGATGTAGTAGTAGATGCGCAAGATGTAGTAGATGGGCAGTAGATGCGTAGATGTAGTAGTAGATGGACAGTAGATGCGTAGATGTAGTAGTAGATGGGCAGTAGATGCGTAGATGTAGTAGATGGGCAGTAGATGCGTAGATGTAGTAGTAGATGGGCAGTAGAGATGCGCAAGATGCGGCGTTGTTGAAAGAACGAGATTGTATCGGCTTTAATAGCGAAACATGAATCCACGGCGACAGGAAATAGCAAAAGAATCATTTTTTGTGCTTTTCTTTATTCATTTTCATGAAAGGATGCAAATTTGGTGAATTTGGCGAATTTGGCGGAATTTTCCGCATTTTCCGCATTTTCAAACTTTCCGCATAACGAAAAATGATTGGGGATTTATTTTTTGCGAATTTCGAACGGAAAAGAAGCACTTAAGCGCTCGAAAATCAAGAAAATCACGAAAATCCTCGTCTATCACTTGTTTTCAGACATTGAGCCAACACTGGCACGAGACGATCACTTTGTTATCGTTTGCCGAAAATGAGATCACTCCACAGAATGGAGCCGCGTGTGAGGGGAAATGGATGGATGGGAAACAAATACAGCAACACATTCAAAAGGTTAATAGATAAGGGTTTTAAAAAAAAAAACAGGCTCTACTATAGCTCACGTTTTATTCAAAAGCAATCAATATTAGCAATATTAGCTTTTATTCAGAAGCTCAATTCATTTCCACAAAAAAGAAATCGAATGGAGAACTCTTCTCGAAATGATCTCCATTTCTATCAAAGGAAAATGGGGAAAATCGATTGGAAAGTAGGGAAAATCGATTGGAAAGTAAGAAAGATCAAATGCTCGCTTTGTTCTGTTCAAATGTTCGAGAATCCGGTGCGCTAGAAAGGGTTCTTTTAAAGAGCACAGAGTACATCTAAAGCTTGAGCAAAGCTTTTTTTTTTGTTTAACTTTTAGCTGTTTAACTGTTTAGCAAAGCTTTTAACTAATTTAACTTTAGCTTCTTTCCAAATACAATTCGAATCGTGATGTTTACGAGGTGATCACCGCGAAGAGTTCCTCAAGGGAGAATCTGCGAAAATTGGAGGGAAATGTGATGAAAGTGGCCGTTTATTTGGTTGGTTTTATTCTACGTTTAGTAACGGACATTCTAGGGTACAGCAGAGGGATCTAGGGTACAGTAGAGGGATCTAGGGTATAGTAGAGGGATCTAGGGTACAGTAGAGGGATCTAGGGTACAGTAGAGGGATCTAGGGTATAGTAGAGGGATCTAGGGTACAGTAGAGGGATCTAGGGTACAGTAGAGGGATCTAGGGTACAGTAGAGGGATCTAGGGTATAGTAGAGGGATCTAGGGTACAGTAGAGGGATCTAGGGTACAGTAGAGGGATCTAGGGTACAGTAGAGGGATCTAGGGTACAGTAGAGGGATCTAGGGTACAGCAGAGGGATCTAGGGTACAGTAGAGGGATCTAGGGTACATCTAGGGTACAGTAGGTACAGTAGAGGGATCTAGGGTACAGCAGAGGGATCTAGGGTACATCTAGGGTACAGTAGGTACAGTAGAGGGATCTAGGGTACAGTAGAGGGATCTATGGTACAGTAGAGGGATCTAGGGCAGAGCACGGGGATCTAGGGCACAGGGTGCGTCACAATTACCGCCTTATTTCTCTTACAATTGAATTTAGCTGCTTTTCAGCTAACGCTTGCATCGAAATTTAACTGTTAATTCGAATTGTTACACGTTGATAAGGATTTGTATTTCTAAAAATTTGTATTTTGGTGATTTATCAGGTTAGAAAGCTTGTTTTACTTTGAAAAGGTAATTGTGACAGACCCTTTACTTCACTCTATTAGTACTATATCTTTATTTAGCCTATAATGACCTCTCCAAGAAGTGCTACAGTAATTTCTTGTTCTAGTAATTACAGTAATCTCTAACTATAGTTCAATCGTACAGTGGATCCGAAATAACATGTTCTCTAAAGGTTCAAAAAGGATATCGAAAGATAAGAAAAAGTTGAGATTGGATAAAAATAGAGACAAGCTTGTGGCAGAAAGAGGAAACGGTTTAGGAAATGGACTAGGAAATGGATTACGAAGTTAAGTTAACTTGGCTAAGCTAAGTTATGAGTGTTTCCATAGAATTCTAGAAAGGAAGCCATTCTAGGAAGCCCCATTCGTGATGCACGACGAGGAGGCTGAAAGGAGAGATCCGAAAAATGGGAAACACTACAAGGGATACTGTATCGATTTGTTGAGTAAAATCGCTGAGACACTCAATTTTACGTATATTTTGCATGAGGTGAGATAGAAATAGCTAGGATCTACGATCTACGATCTAGCTATGATCTAGCTACGATCTACGGTCTAGCTACGATCTAGCTATGATCTACGGTCTAGCTACGATCTAGCTAGGATCTAGCTACGATCTAGCTACGATCTAGCTAGGATCTAGCTACGATCTAGCTATGATCTACGGTCTAGCTACGATCTAGCTAGGATCTAGCTACGATCTAGCTACGATCTAGCTACGATCTAGCTACGATCTAGCTACGATCTAGCTACGATCTACGGTCTACGGTCTAGCTACGATCTAGCTAGGATCTAGTTACGATCTAGGTAGGATCTAGCTACGATCTAGCTACGATCCACGATCTAGCTACGATCTACGGTCTACGGTCTAGCTACGATCTAGCTAGGATCTAGCTACGATCTAGCTACGATCTAGCTACGATCTACGATCTGGCTACGATCCACGATCTAGCTACGATCTAGCTACGTTTCTAGGTGAAAGATAAAACATACGGATCGAAGGATGCAAGCGGACAATGGAATGGACTTGTTGGAGAGTTGTTGAGAGGGGTCAGTGAAGTTCTTTAGGAAGTTGAAGTGCTTTAAAGTACAGATTTTATAGTACTTTATAGTACTTTGTAGACTTTATAGTACTTTACAGACTTTATAGTACTTTATAGGCTTTATAGTATAGTTTATAGTAAAGTACAGACCTGTTCCTCTAAATTTGGAGTTGAGTTGTTTATTAAAAAGAGAATCCTCTCTAGGAAGCCGATCTTGCCGTCTCAGCTCTCACAATCACCTATTCCCGGTCGGAAGTCATTGATTTCTCAGTTCCCTACATGCATTTGGGGATCTCGATCTTGTTCAAAGTAAGTAAACGTATTGAGTATTTTTTAGAAAGTCTCAAATCTAGCCCCCTAATCCCCCAAGCAGCCGCACTACAGCACTACAGCACTTGGGGGAAGGGAGGGAGGGAAGGGCTAGTAAACTAGTCTCCCAATCCTAATCATCAACCGCTTAGAGATATCCATCGCCAGAACGCCACGCTTGTCTAGGTCGATGATCGCATCTCGGTACACAACCAAATCTCTAACACATTGGAGTCAAATCGATGCCGTGTTGGAGCCAAATCTATGCAATATTGGAGCCAAATCTATACCCTATCGATACCAAAGAGGAACCAAGCTTGTAGAGAAAAGGAACCAAATCTGTACCGAAAAGGAACCAAGTGGTGGCCCAAAGGAACCAAATCTGTACCAAGGAGGAACTAAATCGATACCGAAAAGGAACCAAATCTGTACCGAAAAGGAAGCAAGTCGTGGCCCAAAGGAACCAAATCTGTACCGAAAAGGAACCAAGTCGTGGCCCAAAGGAACCAAATCTGTACCGAAAAGGAACCAAATCTGTACCGAAAAGGAACCAAATCTGTACCGAAAAGGAACCAAATCTGTACCGAAAAGGAACCAAGTGGTGGCCCAAAGGAACCAAATCTGTACCGAAAAGGAACCAAGTCGTGGCCCAAAGGAACCAAATCTGTACCGAAAAGGAACCAAGTGGTGGCCCAAAGGAACCAAATCTGTACCGAAAAGGAACCAAGTCGTGGCCCAAAGGAACCAAATCTGTACCAAGGAGGAACTAAATCGATACCGAAAACGAACCAAATCTATGCTCCAATCTATGCTCCGAAAAGGAACCAAATCTATACCATATTGAAACTGACATCTTGACCATTCTAAAGAGAGATTTTTTAAAGGAGCTATGGCAAGAAGGAGCTATGGCAAGAAGTTCATCGGGTCCATTGGTCCTTGGTCCTTCTCAGCTCGACTCTTGATGCCCAGCGCAAGACGATCCTGGAGAACAATCTTCTTTCTTTTGCGACCGCCAACATGGGACAAGGATGGCTCCTCTACCAGGACAATGCTCCTTGCCACAAGAGTCAGTCAGCCGCACTGGTTCGACTTGCCAGTGGAGGAAGAGCTCGCCTACCCGGATGGTTCCGCGTAAATCGTGTTCAACTCGTTTCAGCTCCTCCATAAAGCGCCGATTTGAATGCTATTGAACAACTATGGGCGTTTATCATGACGAAACTCAAGGGAAGGCGGTTTTAGCTCTAAGGCGGATCTTTGGTACTTCGTACGGCGAGTTTGAGCGACAATTGCGCCACAAATTTTACGCGATCTAGTTGACAGTATGCCCCGGAGGCGCCAAGCGGTCATTGCAGCTAAAAATCGAATCGAATCTAATCGAATCGAATCAAAGATATCCCTAGTGCCCGTAATGGACAGTACGCTAACTTTCCAGCGCCGTCTCGTCTCCACCACTTCTCTACTCACATTTCTCGGCCCACTCACTTCATCGGTTTGGTTGCTTCTCCTTGTCGCCTATCTTTTCACCGCGTTTTCCTTGTGGATCTTGGCAAAGTCGGTAACAACAATTGTATTGTATTCAATTTGAATGTCTTTTTTCCTTTTTCTAAACCGCCACCACTCAATTTGGACACTTTCTTTCAAAACAAAACAAAACAATTTTAGTTTTCTATTTTATTGTTAAAGTAAAAGAGCTATTTCAAGCTTATCAAAGCTATTAAAAGCTTATCAAAGCAATTAGAAGCTTATCAAAGCTATTAAAAGCTTATCAAAGCTATTAAAAGCTTATCAAAGCAATTAGAAGCTTATCAAAGCTATTTCAAGCTTATTAAAGAAGCTTATTTAACTGCATAATTCTGTAGAATTTGAAAACGATTCGTTCAACGATTTTCTTTAAAATAGCAATTGAAAGATTTTATTTAAAAATGCTTTACCGATTTGTGGCAAGCTTTAAGCCTCATAAGCCACTTCTCTCATAAGCCATTTCCCATTTTAAACCATTTCAAAGGTCCATTACAAAGGTCCATTACATTTTGCGGCTTCTTTATCACTTCAAAATGAAGGAATCAGCATCGCGGTCGCAATCTTTGTGAAGCATTCGGAGAAAACGTTTTGAGTGAAAGGACTTGCCAGGAATGGTTTCGTTTTCGTGACGGGGATCAGAGGTTGGAAGATGAGTCTCGTCCCATTTGCTTGGAGGATGAGCCTCGTCCCGTTGATTGGAAGATGAGCCTCGTCCTGTTGATTGGAAGATGAGCCTCGTCCTGTTGATTGGAAGATGAGCCTCGTCCCGTTGATTGGAAGATGAGGCTCGTCCTGTTGCTTGGAAGATGAGGCTCGTCCTGTTGCTTGGAAGATGAGGCTCGTCCCGTTGATGGGAAGATGAGCCTCGTCCTGTTGATTGGAAGATGAGGCTCGTCCCGTTGATTGGAAGATGAGGCTCGTCCTGTTGATTGGAAGATGAGGCTCGTCCTGTTGATTGGAAGATGAGCCTCGTCCCGTTGATGGGAAGATGAGCCTCGTCCTGTTGCTTGGAAGATGAGCCTCGTCCTGTTGCTTGGAAGATGAGGCTCGTCCCGTTGATGGGAAGATGAGGCTCGTCCTGTTGATTGGAAGATGAGGCTCGTCCTGTTGATTGGAAGATGAGCCTCGTCCTGTTGATGGGAAGATGAGCCTCGTCCTGTTGCTTGGAAGATGAGGCTCGTCCTGTTGCTTGGAAGATGAGCCTCGTCCTGTTGATTGGAAGATGAGGCTCGTCCTGTTGCTTGGAAGATGAGCCTCGTCCTGTTGATTGGAAGATGAGGCTCGTCCCGTTGATGGGAAGATGAGGCTCGTCCTGTTGCTTGGAAGATGAGCCTCGTCCCGTGGTCCTCGATAATGCGGAGTTGCTGGAGATTGTCGGATCCAACTCAAACTTTGCCCGAATTCGCCGATCTGCGATCCGAGAGCCGACTTTAAATGCGATCCGAGCACAATTTCTCTACACATTTCGCTTATTGGGAAAAGGAATCGTTGTGGCCAATGGGATGGGCCAATGGGTGAATCGGATGAGCCAATGGGTCAATGGAATGGGCCGATGGAATGGGTCATGGGATGGGTCATGGGATGGGCCAACTCGATGGGTCAATGGGATGAGCCAATGGGATGGGCTAATGGGATGGGCCAATGGGATGAGCCAATGGGTCAATTGGATGGGCCAATTGGATGGGCCAATGGGATGGGCCGATGGGATGGGCCGATGGGATGGGCCGATGGGATGGGTCAATTGGATGGGCCAATGGGATAGGTCAATGGAATGGGTCAATGGGATGGATCAATGGGATGGGTCAATGGGATAGGTCAATGGAATGGGTCAAAGGGATGAGCCAATGGGATGGGCTAATGGGATGGGCCAATGGAATGGGTCAATTGGATGGGCCAATGGGATGGGTCAATTGGATGGGCCAATGGGATGGGTCAATGGAATGGGTCAATGGGATGGATCAATGGGATGGGTCAATGGGATAGGTCAATGGAATGGGTCAAAGGGATGAGCCAATGGGATGGGCTAATGGGATGGGCCAATGGAATGGGTCAATTGGATGGGCCAATGGGATGGGTCAATTGGATGGGCCAATGGGATGGGTCAATGGGATGGGTCAATGGGATAGGTCAATGGAATGGGTCAAAGGGATGAGCCAATGGGATGGGCTAATGGGATGGGCCAATGGGATGGGCTAATGGGATGGGCCAATGGAATGGGTCAATTGGATGGGCCAATGGGATGGGTCAATGGGATGGGTCAATGGGATAGGTCAATGGAATGGGTCAAAGGGATGAGCCAATGGGATGGGCTAATGGGATGGGCCAATGGGTCAATGGGATACTCCAATGGGTCAATGGAATGGGCCAATTCGAATGAAGCATCCAAATTCTAAGCCCATAAAATGGAAGAGCATAGTTGAAAATAAAATGTAATGTCTTTTCAAATAGAATTCTTATTTCATCTTTATTCTTATTCATCTAGATTCTTATTCAGTCTTCTGACTTTTCGCTTTTTCATTTTAACTTAAACCAATTAAACCAGTGAGTTTCGGTGAGTTGAAATTAAGCCTTCTAGACTTCGTTCTAGACCTCGTTCTAGACTTTTCTAACGTTCTAGACTTCTTTAACCTTCTAGACTTTCACCCAGTGAGCGTTTGACAAGAATCGCGAACAAAGCAGCGTGGCTGAGCGCAGAGAACGCTTTCTGGTTCCCGTTTTGCTCGCTGATGCAACAGGTGAGTGGCTTTGAAGATGGAAATCGTTGAAATCGTTTTTGTGTCACTAGAAACATCTCAAAATCATCTCTAAATCTAAATCTCAGTCGTCCGTCGTCCCATCCGGCGCCTCAACTCGCCTCGTTTCTCTCATTTGGTGGTTGTTCGCTCTCGTTCTCATCTCTTCCTATACGGCAAATTTGGCTGCAACAGCTACTGTCAAGTGAGTTTTTTTTTTTAAAGGATAGAAAACACTGTAAACTTCGTTCGTTCTATGTTTTCTAGAGTTCGTTCTATGCTTCTAAAAAGCGCCTAAGCTACAGTAGCTTTTTTAGAGTTTTCTGTGTTCTTTCTTTTGATTCAGTTTGGTTGCCACTGCTTTTTTTGCTTTTAAAGTTTTGATTCCGCATCGAATTTCGATAAAACAGCGATCTCATCTATAGGACGCAAAGCGGAAAGCAAGAAAAGCACTGGCAGCTTAGGGGATAGTGTGCTAGACCCCGGAACTGAAGCCGATCTTGGCTCTCGGGTTCAATTCTCCTTGCCGCCAAATTTTCGGCTTTTTTGTCGATTCTGATTAGGTTCTCTGTTCTGAGAGGTTCTCTGTTCTGATTAGGTTCTCTGTTCTGATTAGGTTCTCTGTTCTGATTAGGTTCTCTGTTCTGAGAGGTTCTCTGTTCTGAGAGGTTCTCTGTTCTGAGAGGTTCTCTGTTCTGATTAGGTTCTCTGTTCTGAGAGGTTCTCTGTTCTGAGAGGTTCTCTGTTCTGAGAGGTTCTCTGTTCTGATTAGGTTCTCTGTTCTGATTAGGTTCTCTGTTCTGAGAGGTTCTCTGTTCTGAGAGGTTCTCAGTTCTGAGAGGTTCTCTGTTCTGATTAGGTTCTCTGTTCTGAGAGGTTCTCTGTTCTGATTAGGTTCTCTGTTCTGAGAGGTTCTCTGTTCTGATTAGGTTCTCTGTTCTGAGAGGGTTCTCTGTTCTGATTAGGTTCTCTGTTCTGAGAGGTTCTCTGTTCTGATTAGGTTCTCTGTTCTGAGAGGTTCTCTGTTCTGATTAGGTTCTCTGTTCTGAGAGGTTCTCTGTTCTGATTAGGTTCTCTGTTCTGAGAGGTTCTCTGTTCTGATTAGGTTCTCTGTTCTGAGAGGTTCTCTGTTCTGATTAGGTTCTCTGTTCTGATTAGGTTCTCTGTTCTGATTAGGTTCTCTGTTCTGATTAGGTTCTCTGTTCTGAGAGGTTCTCTGTTCTGATTAGGTTCTCTGTTCTGAGAGGTTCTCTGTTCTGATTAGGTTCTCTGTTCTGAGAGGTTCTCTGTTCTGATTAGGTTCTCTGTTCTGAGAGGTTCTCTGTTCTGATTAGGTTCTCTGTTCTGATTAGGTTCTCTGTTCTGATTAGGTTCTCTGTTCTGATTAGGTTCTCTGTTCTGAGAGGTTCTCTGTTCTGATTAGGTTCTCTGTTCTGAGAGGTTCTCTGTTCTGATTAGGTTCTCTGTTCTGAGAGGTTCTCTGTTCTGATTAGGTTCTCTGTTCTGAGAGGTTCTCTGTTCTGATTAGGTTCTCTGTTCTGATTAGGTTCTCTGTTCTGATTAGGTTCTCTGTTCTGATTAGGTTCTCTGTTCTGAGAGGTTCTCTGTTCTGATTAGGTTCTCTGTTCTGAGAGGTTCTCTGTTCTGATTAGGTTCTCTGTTCTGAGAGGTTCTCTGTTCTGATTAGGTTCTCTGTTCTGAGAGGTTCTCTGTTCTGATTAGGTTCTCTGTTCTGAGAGGTTCTCTGTTCTGATTAGGTTCTCTGTTCTGATTAGGTTCTCTGTTCTGATTAGGTTCTCTGTTCTGATTAGGTTCTCTGTTCTGAGAGGTTCTCTGTTCTGATTAGGTTCTCTGTTCTGAGAGGTTCTCTGTTCTGATTAGGTTCTCTGTTCTGAGAGGTTCTCTGTTCTGATTAGGTTCTCTGTTCTGAGAGGTTCTCTGTTCTGATTAGGTTCTCTGTTCTGATTAGGTTCTCTGTTCTGAGAGGTTCTCTGTTCTGAGAGGTTCTCTGTTCTGAGAGGTTCTCAGTTCTGAGAGGTTCTCCTTAGTTCCAATTAAGTTCTCGAATGAGAACCTAAACGTTCCGTTTCGTCCAAAAACCTTTTTTTTGAGTATTAGGATGTTTTTAAAGTGTAGAAAGTGTAGAAAGTTCCAAAAACAAAAGACGTTTGTAACAAAAAGCATTGCTAAAGGCGTTTGTAAGTAAAGCACCGATAAATGTTTCTAAAACCTATAGAAAAACTTTTAAAACCTTTAAAAAAAGCTAATTACTGTTTAAAAATACTATAATAATCATAATCATAATGAAGTTTTCGGAAAAAAAGCAAAAACTTTGGCTGGAAGTGGAATTGAACCATAGATTTGGATCAGCATAGATTTGGATCGGCATAGATTTCTGAGTTTAGCACACTATCCTCTAAGCCGCTGGTGATGTGTTTCTTAGAATTGGGACGTTTTGTAGCTAGGTCTGCTTTACGTAGCTAGGTCTGCTTTACGGAGCTAGGTCTACTTTACGTAGCTAGGTCTACTTTCGTAGCTAGGTCTGCTTTCTCTAGTCTTACTGTAGCTTTTTAGACGAATGGAGACGAATGAATTGAACCCGCGAGGAAGGATCGGCATAGATTTCTGAGTTTAGCACAAGCTGCTGATGATGAGTTTCTTAGAGTTCGAGCGTTCTGTTAGCTAGGTAGCTAGGTAGCTAGGTAGCTAGGTAGCTAGGTAGCTAGGTAGCTAGGTAGCTAGGTAGCTAGGTAGCTAGGTAGCTAGGTAGCTAGGTAGCTAGGTAGCTAGGTAGCTAGGTAGCTAGGTAGCTAGGTACAGTACTGGACAATGAAATATCATATTTGCAAAACGATCGTCACTTTCGCGCGTCTGTAACTCCCTTGTCTTTGAGTTTAAACTATTAGTGTTATACATTTTCTGAAAGCTCTTTTCAAGGGCTACACAATGGTAATATTGATATTTAGAAATACGGTATTTTTTGCCGCATTTCAGCGCGCACAAGATGGGATACTCCAAATTTTCGATTTTCAAAGCTGTTTTTCTTTATGATAGAGTGCTGGAATCACTCTGAAACTACGATTTTCGGAATCTACGCAAAAATTTACCTTAGAATAATCAATATTTGTAAAATTGTATGAAAGTTTCATAGCGAAAAAAACCACATTTGCGAAATTCTCACTTCCTGGGGGGTCAAGCGAGGAAGAAGCTGGAAAACAAATATTTAACAAAAATGTAGTGAAATGAAAAAGGAACAAAAACGGTAACAAAACAATAATGAGAAAACTCCAGAGCACACAATGGAAATTTCACTATTTAGTAACAAATCCTTTAGCGTCGATTACAGCTTGACATCGCCGAGGCATTGAATCAAGAAGATTAATGATGAAACTAACGGGGATAGAATTCCCAGCCTGCTCCAGCTGTGCAAACTTCTCATCAGCATTGCCGGCTTTGAGATTCTTAGTTCGTCGCTCAAGTTCACTCCACAAATTCTCAATAATGTTAAGATCTGGCGATTGACTTGGCCATTCTAAGCGCTCAACACCTTGATTAGCAAACCACTGTCCCACATCTTTAGACTGATGTTTGGGGTCATTGTCATCTTGATAAATAAAGTCTTTTCCGAAAACTCCGTAGGCCCATGGAAGCATTGTCTTATCTGAGATGTCAATATAAAAACACTCAAAGTTGCACGCAACACAATTTTTGCAAATAAACCGCCCTTCCTCGCTTGACCCCCCAGGAAGTGAGAATTTCGCAAATGTGGTTTTTTTCGCTATGAAACTTTCATACAATTTTACAAATATTGATTATTCTAAGGTAAATTTTTGCGTAGATTCCGAAAATCGTAGTTTCAGAGTGATTCCAGCACTCTATCATAAAGAAAAACAGCTTTGAAAATCGAAAATTTGGAGTATCCCATCTTGTGCGCGCTGAAATGCGGCAAAAAATACCGTATTTCTAAATATCAATATTACCATTGTGTAGCCCTTGAAAAGAGCTTTCAGAAAATGTATAACACTAATAGTTTAAACTCAAAGACAAGGGAGTTACAGACGCGCGAAAGTGACGATCGTTTTGCAAATATGATATTTCATTGTCCAGTACTGTAGCTAGGTAGCTCTGTTAGCTAGGTAGCTCTGTTAGCTAGGTAGCTAGATAGCTTTGTTAGCTAGGTAGCTAGATAGCTTTGTTAGCTTTGTTAGCTAGGTATCGTTTGTAGCTTTTTAGACGAATGGAGACGCCAATCGAGGGCGCTGAGGATCTCTCAAAGCAGACAAAAATTCGATACGGTACACTGGCAAAAGGATCAACAATGACGTTCTTTAATGTAAGAGAATGATTGATTGATTGGTTGATTGGTTGATTGATTGATTGATTGATTGATTGATTGATTGATTTAAAGATTGCAAGTTTAGGAATCAAAGATTGAGACGTACGAGCGAATGTGGAAAGCGATGAGTGATGGTGGCGGCACTTTTGTACAGAATAGTCGAGAGGGGATACAAAGGGTCAAGGTGAGCAAGAAAAACAAGAAAAACAAGAAAAAACGAACATTTCTACGATGCTGTTTAGTGAAAAAGGTTGTTTTCTAAAAGATACTCAAAGTTACCGAACACCAAAGCTAAGCCGAAGCTCGTGGGTGTGTGATTAAAGCTGAAAAATGGGTCATAACCTGAGACAAAACCAGTAGATGGACAAATAGACATAAAGAGAGTCTGAATGAGTTTAAGGCTTGCTCTTTAGGGCCTTTTCTACTTCCTTTCTACTGTAGGATTACGGTAAGATCTTCTTTTTTTTTTAAAAATGATTGAACAGAACTTTAGAGTGAAGTTTACGCTTATCTAATGGAATCATCGATGCTCGAGTACGCGGTCGAACGAGATTGCGAGTTGACACAGGTTAGAGGATGGGGAAGTTTCTCATAGTAGTTATTTGAACAATGGTTGTCAGACAATGGTTCTCTGACTTGTAATTTGAACATTTGTCAGGGCTATTTCCCTGAATCGTGGTCTCTTGAAAGTTCCGTGGTCTCTTGAAAGTTCGCTGGTCCCTTGAAAATTTCCTGATCCTCTTTTCCTTTCCTCAGACACGCAGATGTTTAAAGCTGGCATTCACATACAGCCAAGACAGACATCCTTGCCAACTTGACGATATCCTGTTGAGGCGACGAGGAATTCTGTCGACCAACGTCGGAGATGGCCACGCTACAAACGAGAGGCTTTCTCTTTGTGAGTGGATGTTTGCTGTAAGATTTTTCCAGCGATCGACTCGTGCTGCACCTTTTATTGACCCAATGTTTAATCTTCCTTAGTGTCTCTTCAACTCGAGCCCATAGAGGTACAGTACTGGACAATGAAATATGATATTTGAAAAACCAAATAAGAACCGTATAGGAACCGTATTGGAATCGTATTGGAACTGTATTGGAACCATATTGGAATCGTATTGGAACCGTATTGGAACCATTTTGGAACTGTATGGGAACTGTATTGGAACCGTATTGGAATCGTATTGGAATCGTATTGGAACCGTATTAGAATCATATTAGAACCGTATTGGAATCGTATTGGAATCGTATTAGAACCGTATTGGAACCGTATTGGAACCGTATTGGAACTGTATTGGAATCGTATTGGAACCGTATTGGAACCGTATTGGAAACGTATTGGAACCGTATTGGAAACGTATTGGAATCGTTATGGAACCGTATTGGAAACGTATTGGAACTGTATTGGAATCGTATTGGAATCGTATTGGAACCGTATTAGAATCATATTGGAACCATATTGGAACCGTATTGGAAACGTATTGGAAGCGTATTAGAACCGTATTAGAACCGTATTGGAACCATATTGGAATCGTATTGGAACCGTATTGGAAACGTATTGGAAGCGTATTAGAACCGTATTAGAACCGTATTGGAACCATATTGGAATCGTATTGGAACCGTATTGGAAACGTATTGGAATCGTATTGGAATCGTATTGGAACCGTATTAGAATCATATTGGAACCATATTGGAACCGTATTGGAAACGTATTGGAAGCGTATTAGAACCGTATTAGAACCGTATTGGAACCGTATTGGAACTGTATTGGAATCGTATTGGAACCGTATTGGAATCGTATTGGAATCGTATTAGAACCGTATTGGAACCGTATTAGAACCGTATTGGAACTGTATTGGAATCGTATTGGAACCGTATTGGAACGGTATTAGATCAAAATAGGAACCGTATTGGAACCGTATTGGAATCGTATTGGAAGCGTATTTGATCAAAATCGAAACCGTATTGGAACCGTATTTGATCAAAATAGGAACCGTATTGGAACCGTATTCGCCACTTCAAACGATCGCCACTTCAAACGATCGCCACTTCAAACGATCGCCACTTCAAACGATCGCCACTTCAAACGATCGCCACTTTCGTGCGTCTGTAACTCCCTTGTTTTTGAGTTTAAACTATTAGTGTTATACAGTTTCTGAAAGCTCTTTTCAAGGTAAATTTTTGCGTAGATTCCGAAAATCGTAGTTTCAGAGCGATGCCAGCACTCTATCATAGAGAAAAAAAGCTTTGAAAATCAATTTTTGAGCAAACATTTCGAGTATCCCATCTTGTGCGTGCAGAAATGCGTCAAAAAATACCGTGTTTCTAAATATTAATATTATCATTGTGTAGCCCATGAAAAGAGCTTTTCGGAAAATGTATAACACTAATAGTTTAACGCAAAGACAAACGCAAAGACAAGGGAGTTACAGACGCGGGAAATTGACGATCGATTGACGACGACGAGAGAACGAACTGTAGAACGAGATCGTTATCGGCTTCAGCGTCGATCTCGTCATCAGCGTTTGCATTATTGCCGGTAGTTTCTTCTTGGTGGTCATTGATTAGCCAATCGAGCGTCTCATCAAAGCGCGAATCGTCACAGGCTTCTGCGTCGGGCAGACGTCAAACTGCTTGATGTGGAGCGACTTGAAAGATCACGAGATAATAAAATACGACTCGAAAGATCACGAGACTTTTAAAAACCAGGGAAAGAGCCGTCCTTTTTTCCCCCGTTGGCAATTTAAGGTTTTTCGTGTTTTTCTCAGCACCAACCCTTCGCTTTTCACTATTTTAACTATCATTCGATGCAGAATCAAATTCCGCGTCGAATGACGCCAAAACCAACTCAAAATATAATATACACGCAAAGTTATGAGGCAAAATGTTAAGTCCCGCCCATAGTCAGTGGGATTCGGTTTTTAGCCAACAACTTTGCGTGTATATTATATTTTGAGTTGGTTTTGGTGTCATTCGACGCTGAATTTGATTCTCCATCAAATGATAGTCCAAATAAGCAAAATTGAGGGGTTGATGCTGAACAAAATCCTAATTTAAGGTTTTTCGTGTTTTTCTCAGCACCAACCCTTCGCTTTTCACTATTTTAACTATCATTCGATGCAGAATCAAATTCCGCGTCGAATGACGCCAAAACCAACTCAAAATATAAAATCTACGAAAAGTTGTTGGCTGATTTGTCTCATAACTTTGCGTGGATACTGTATTTTTAGTTTGTTTTGGTGTCATTCGACGCGGAATTTGATTCTGCATCGAATGATAGTTAAAATAGTGAAAAGCGAAGGGTTGGTGCTGAGAAAAACACGAAAAACCTTAAATTGACGGCAAAAAGGATCAAAATAGTCAAAAATCGAAGGATTCATCAAGGAAACTGGCATAGAAAATTCTCAAATTTCTTCGAATCCTTATCAATTCTTTTGCCAGGTCGGTGGTTTGCTCGATCAAAAGGGTTATGGAGTTGGCCTTCCAAAAGGATCACCGAATCGAGCGGCAATTTCGAGAGCGATTCTCTACCTTCAAGAGACCACTGTGTTAACTGAGTTAAAAAATAAATGGTTTGTCAAAAAAAGATTACTATAGTCGGTAAGACAGGGAGTAAGACAGGGAGGAAGACAGGGAGTAAGACAGGGAGGAAGACAGGGAGTAAGACAGGGAGGAAGACAGGGAGGAAGACAGGGAGGAAGACAGGGAGGAAGACAGGGAGGAAGACAGGGAGGAAGACAGGGAGGAAGACAGGGAGGAAGACAGGGAGGAAGACAGGGAGGAAGACAGGGAGGAAGACAGGGAGGAAGACAGGGAGGAAGACAGGGAGGAAGACAGGGAGGAAGACAGGGAGGAAGACAGAAAAAGTTTCAGGTGGAAAGACGCGTCTCATTCTTGCGGGAATCACATCCGCAATCCGGACGACGATGGCGGACCGGTGGCCGGTTTGGCGTTGTGTTTGGTAAGGTTAAGCTGGACAACTGAATAGCCAAATATCTGAATAGCTGAATATCTGAACAACTAAATAACTGAATATCTGAATAGCTGAATATCTGAATATCTGAATAGCTGAATAGCTGAATAGCCAAACATCTGAATATCTGAATATCTGAATATCTGAATATCTGAATAACTGATTAACTGAATATCCGAACAACTGAATAGCTAAATATAGCTAAATATAGCTGAATATAGCTAAATATAGCTGAATAGCTTTCCAATCCTTTATCTAACTCAAAGATATTCAGTCTAAGTGTACTGTAACGAAGTCAGGTGTCTCCCTGCTCAAATTATGCTTTTAAAAACGGCTTTTCTTTCAGCTCAGCGGTCTCGTTTTCTCCACAACTCTCTCAATTCTTCAATATATGATCTCTTTGTGGCCAAGAGACGAAAAACCGATACAAGTACGCAATGAAACAAATAGAAAACAAATAGAAAACAAATAGAAATCAAATAGAAATCAAATAGAAATCAAATAGAAAACAAATAGAAAACAAATAGAAAACAAATAGAAAACAAATAGAAATCAAATAGAATCGAAAAGTGTCTAAAAAGTTACAGTATCTTATTTAAAAACAGTCAAAAAAACCCGTCAAATGGCGAGTTTTTCGGCCGAAAAAACCCATCTAATGACCGGTTTTTCGACCCGAACCCGGTCTTAACCGAGTTTTTTTACCCAACACCACTTGATCATCGTGGCGCAGTGAGGAGCGCGCTCGTCTACAACCCACACGACGCGAGTTCGACTCCCGGCTGCGTCATGACTTTTCGTTTTTCGTAAAAAAAAGGTTAAAGCTTAAAAAACCAAAATCTCAAATGCAAAACTACACATAATTCTAAGTCTAATAAACTAAAAATCATATAAATCGGCTCAAAAAAGAAGCCGAGAAAAGATGTCAAAAATGCAACAAAAGGAGTCGTCGAAATCGAATTTTTCAGTCAGTTCCCACCCTGTCAGCTCTTCTTTCTGTGGCCATTTTGGGTATAAAAGCGCCGCAGGAGATTCGTCGCAAAATCGGTTCGTTCGTTTTTGTTCAAAAAAAAAAAAAACTAGTGCATTCCTAGTCGAGGAGTCGGCGGTAATGGCTGAAAATCGTTGCCACTCGTACTGATTCCAGGAATGCTGTACAATTAAGACTACAACTCGAATCATTTCAATCTAAAAAGACATTTGAACTCTTTTCAATCACTACGGTAGTCGTATCAATTTCTAATTTCTCATATTCTTAAATCCCTTTCGCAGGCCGTTTGGATCAAGTGGAAAGCGTTGTCGAAAGAGCGCCGAGTCGTGAGATGTCAAATGAGGTAAATTTTTAGCCAAAAAAGCAACTTTAGAGTCCAAGCGTAACACAAAATTTGCTAATTTCTAAAGAAATAAAGTATCAATGTTAAAATTTCAGAAACTCTTCCAAAATGGTGAAAGCCTCGATCGATCGTCGACACTCCGAAAAGATCGCGAGAGACGGCGAACATTGACGCTCACCGATATGAGATCGCTCGGCTTTTAGTACAAAACGAAACCACCCAAATCTACCGTAATCCTTCCTATTTTGCACTAATCAATAAGCTAGTTCATAGTTCAATCAATAAGCTAGTTCATATAAGCTTTTCCCTAAAGAATATTGCACTTTTATTCTAAATCGAATCACAAGACAAATGGTCAATAAATTCGATAAAAATTGAACTAAAAAAGTTTTGAATAAAACAATAAATAGACATTAAAAGGTAAAGCTCACAAAAATTGACTAGAAGAAGAGATAGAAGAGATTTTTCTCGAGATTCAAGCCTCGGCTTGAAATTGGACGTGCGTGAAGTTGGTCGAGATGGTCGACGAAAGTTGTGGAGTGCCCGTGCAAAGAACACAACGACCCATCACGTTGAATGGAGAACCTGAAAGAAAAACTGAAAATTTGCAATTTAACTAGCCGTTTTCGTTTATTTATCGTTACGAACCTATCAATTTGCCGATCTTCCCAATATTGAAAACGAATGTTTTCTTTAAATTTAAAAAAGGGGGGTTTAAACAGAGTGCTATTAATTTGCTGCTCGATTTTAACAGAATAGCCAAATAGTGGCTAGCAACCATAGACGATTGAACCAAAGTTGCAAATAAGCTAGCAAAAACGGCAACTTGTTTTCTAAAACCCTACCATCCGGACTGATGATAGTCCCTCCGGCTTCTCGAATGATCACCGCAGCTGCCGCCACATCCCACGCATGAATTCCGTACTCAATGTACCTGAAAACAAGTAATTAATTAGTAAGCAAGTCAGTCAAATTCTTAAAAACACCATCAATAACATCTTCTCACGATTTTATCAAATAAAACACACCCATCAACACTCCCTTGTGCAACCATCATCATGTTAATCGCCGCCGACCCAAACGAGCGATTTCTGAAAAGAAAAAGAATTAGCAAGGATAAAGTACTCTTTACTTTTACTTTACAGACATACAAACTTTATTCTAATTTTCATCATTTTCATATAATTCTAAATTTTCATATACTAATTGCAAAATGTTTCGTTAAAATCACGTTTTATGATCAATACTCAACGAACGGACCCTTGTGCATTATGTTTGAGCATAAGTGTTTGGTAGCTTTGGATGAATGATGAGATCATCTCGGGACGGCGATCCGACCCTAGTTGAGTCACCACAACCGCTGCGGAGAGATCTGGAAGAGGAGGATTTCGAAAGAAAAAACAAAATTTTTCATGGCAGCAAGTTCAAAAATATATTCTATCACCCCTAAGTTACTCTTTAAAATCAAAAGGTCAAAGTAAAAAGGCCAATTATAGCACGAAGAGTCCGTTCGATGATTTGATTTGTGACACACAGAAGAGAACATACCCTATAGTTTTAAAATTTCTAAGCACTTGTAGCTTTTTCTTGGTTCCATACGTGTGTTGACGATACTCCATAAAAATCTGTTCATCTCGAACGCACAAACGCGGACAGACACTCAATAAATCACAGGCCGGCTCTCCCTTAAGCTCACCCTCGAAATCCGGCTTGAACCAGCTTTCGTTGATTCTCGAAATTGAGATCGGTCCATTTTGCACCGAATGATTCTCTCAAGTTGTGAATTCCCAATGAGATCGCGATCACCGCTTTTGAGAGCTCTGAGAGAGAAAATTTCCTTATAAATCTGTGCAAAAACGGGGAGGGGAAATCTTAAGGAAGATTTTGTGGTTCATGAATCGTTTTCAATCAGACTTGAAACACAAAACTTAAAACATATGCAATAACGTATCCTATTGCATTCAATCCTCTTTATAAAGAAAACTCAGCCTTCGTTGCAAAAAAAAGTTCCTAACGTGTAGATAAAACCAAATTATACCTTGTGTCGACGAAGCGTGAATTGGAAAACCGTTCTTGAAGGCCCCAGTTCCAACCTAAATCGATTCGAAATTTTATTTGCCGAATGAAACCATTTCAAACCTGCGCTGTATAGAGTTCATTTGTGATCGGATTGTAAACGATTCCTCCTCGTAACTCCTTGTTTATCGAAAGTCCCACACAAATGGCAATCAACGGAATTCTAACAATAGTTCAGATGTAGGTTATTTCTAATGCTTTAGATACAGATTCTTTCTAATTCTTTCTAATGCTTTAGATTCTTACGTCAGCGTCAGCGATTTATTTGTACTAAAATTGAACAAACCTATGCACAAAATTTGTCGTTCCATCAATTGGATCGATTATCCACGTGGGCGCATCTGTCCACTCAATTTTCGCACCACCCGATACCGATTCTTCGCCAATAAATCTAAAAATCAAAATTTTTTTTTTATCGCAAAACATTTTGTAATATTTTTGCTAAATTTTCTTACTTATGATCAGGAAAAGCTGCATGTAGTCCATCAATCAGATAGCGTTCCACGGCTCGATCCGTTTCCGTCACAAGGTCAGTCTATAAACCAAGATATTCGAATTTACAAGACCACTAGTAGAATCAGTTACATCTATAGAATTTAATAAACTCACGTTTGACGATTTCGTCTCAACAGCAGAAGCGGGTTGCTCGAAAGCTTCACGAACAATCTAAAAAAAATCAACAATTAGTTTGGCTTCTGTATTAACGACTACACTAATCTAAATTTTAGGTTAAGTAAATCTTTCATTTGTTCAAAACGTTACTGATGAACTTCGGGAGCACTTTGACCCGACTTGGTCAGACCCTATTCTACGCTTGCTTTTTTTCTAGCCTTGTTTTGCATTTTCTGGGGTAATCAAAGGCACTTAATCGATTGCCGCTATTTTTAGAGTATTTTGAAAAAGTTTTCACGTTGCATTTTGTCCCTCTCTTCATTTTTAAGCTTAGCAACACTGTCGAGACAAAACTCCAGATAGCTTAACAAAATCAACAATCAACAATCAACAAAAATTGTTCAAAACTTTCTAAAAATCTTATTAATAGATTCATCATGTTTGATTATCCCAGCAAAAGTAAAATAACTTTGGTAAAACAGTCAAAAAATACAAGCTGACCAAGTCGGGTCAATGGGCCCCCTTCGAAGTTTATTAGTACCAAGTTTATCAGTATTAGTAGTTTATTGGTCTTTGCAAAAAGTTCGTTAGAACATTTGGTACTAATGCACCTATGGGGGAGCCGCTTTTTTTTTGCTCGAAAACCACTTTATTAAAGGTTTTTGACTGCGCCGATTCCAAATTTTATCAAATTTTTATAGATTCTTAATTGAGCTCCTAGTTTTTAGAATAAGAAGAATAATAGAAGTTTTTCGAATTGTAGAAAATTCGCTTTTTAAACAAAAGACTTAAATCGGCTATCCAATCCACAAAATCATCGTCTGAAAACAAAAGCTTCTGGCTTAATTCGAGGAGGGTGATTTCCTTGCAATTGATTAATCGCCATCTCCGCGAGAAGAGAGAAGATTTTAAGTGTTTTTTTCGGAAGAATTTATACGATTTCTAGCAAAAGAGTGGGGGGGGGGGGGGGGGCTTTAGCAAGTTATAAAACGTTTAATCAGTTTCACCACTCCTAAGCTTACAAGTTTAAGCACATTATGCCTACATGAGAAGAGCCAGAATTCAATTAAAAACCTATCAAAAATTTTATCAAATTTGGAATCGGCGCAGTCAAAAAGGAGGTGGGACAAATGCGACCTTTTTTTTGCTGGAAAAGGCCTTAGGAAAGGTCGTAGAGCTTCAAAAATGCTTTCACAGAAGGGAATCGTATGCGTAGATTCCGAATTTCGACAAATCAGACCTCGCTGACACGTCAAATTTGGGCTAAAAGGCAAAAACTACGCAACTTAACGCTTTTCCGTAGTTTTTGCCTTTTAGTCCAAATTTGACGTGTCAGCGAGATCTGATTAGTCGAAATTCGGAATCTACGCATACGATTCCCTTATTTTCGAAGCTCTACGGCCTTGCCTAAGGCCTTTTCCAGCTAAAAAAGGTCGCATTTGTCCCACCCCCGTCAAAAACCTCTAATAAAGTGGTTTTCGAGTAAAAAAAAAAGTGGCCATTAGTACCGAACATTTCTACAAACCAAAATTTAGAAAACAAAGAAACAAATCTTATTGTTTCAGATCTTATTGTTTTTAAAATTTCCCCAAAAAACCCTCACCCTTCCCGCCGATTTCACCAAGCCGAGCGCAGTGTTGAAGAATTTTTGCTCATCCGGATGCACGGCCGTGAAAACCATCTGAAATTAAGTGAAAAATCATGAAATTTGTCTAACAAAATCACATTGAGAATGAAATAAAAGGAAGATTTTTTCGCAGAAATAATATTTTATTCGTAGCAAAGTTGACAGAGTTGTCGAGACAAAAATGAACGCTAATTTAAGTTAATTTGTTAATTTTCTGATGAAAGCAGAAAAATGTCAAATTCGATGAAAAAAACACAGAGCACAAACTACCAAAAATCGTTTAGATTGGGGAGTGGGACAAATGCGACCTTTTTTTTTGCGCACCCGGACATTTGCGCACCTTGCCCATTAGCGCACCTTTTTTCGCGTTTTAAAAAAGCTCTAAAAAGCTAATATTAATCAATTTCTATTCCAAAGTTGTTTTTCTAGGTAATTTTAGGGCGTAGAATCGAAATTTTGACATATCAGAGCTTGTGGAAACAAACGGACGGAGTTATACAAAGAGAAAAATCGACAATTTTCTGTAATTTGATCTAGCCGTTTTGTCTTTCAAATTGGTTTCACACGCTCTGTTATGTCAAAATTTGAATTCGACACCCTCAAATTACCTAGAAAAACAACTTTTGGAATAGAAATTGGTTAATATTAGCTTTTTAGAGCTTTTTTAAAACGCGAAAAAAGGTGCGCTAATGGGCAAGGTGCGGAAAAAAAGGTGCGCAAATGTCCAGGTGCGCAAAAAAAAGGTCGCATTTGTCCCACTCCCCAAACTACCAAAAATCGTTTAGATTGCTTTAAAATTGATAAAAATCATTGATAAAAGAGCTAGCATTTATTTTCTTCGAAAACTTCATTCCAATACTCTCAAATATTCAGGTTTAAACCAATTAAACCAATACCTTTCAAATTTTGCATAATAAAACTTTTATTTCAAACATTAGCATCAATAACAAATGCGAATCAATAACAAAATATGAAAAACAAGCATACCCGATAAAGTTCACCCGTTAAAACACCAAAAAAAATGCTGCCCGTTTTGCGCAAAATTTGAAATAAACCTATAAAATAACAAAACGAACTTAAAAAAGTATAAAAACGTAACCATAAAAACAATCGAAAACTCTAAGTCAATGTAGATTTTTATGTTTTTGTAAGTATTTTCATTACTTTCCTCCGAATCGTCGCCTCATCCGACTCATCAACGGTGGAGTGATGAAAAGTTGGCCACCTAAAAGAGTTACCATTAAATGTTTATCAATTCTATAGCTTAGAAGTGATAAATTTTTCCACTACATTTTCTTTTTCTACAAAACACCAACCAGCTACTTCTTTCCAGCCACAAATTCGACCACAGAGTCTCTTCTGTTGCTTGAAGAGCTCGATTCAGGACAGCCCAGGCTCTAAAAGTGGCTTAACAATGCTTGAATTACCTCCAATTTTTACAAAGTTACCTCCAATTTTTTTGATTCTCCGCGTAATCCAAAAACGCAAACATTGTTTGCACGATTTCCAAATGTGACGCGGGATTGTTTCTAAGAACATAGATACAACAAGTGATCAATGAGCTCGAAACTTACTGTATCGTGCCTTCCGCCCACAAAACCCACAGCTCATCGGCACAATGAACGTTCGGCTTCTGGTAGGGTAACATCTGAAATTTGAAACATCTGAAAGATTCACGAATTCACGGCTAAGTCACGAGTTTCACCATCTAATTGTCCAGTTTATGAAGTCAAATCTTATCTAACTTATTTCAATAAACGTAATATTCTTAAAAAACAAACATCTTTAATCCTTTGCTCGACATCTTGCAAATTGAAGCTATTCAACGTGGTAATCGTCGTTGTGATAAGCGAGCTGTTCTCCATCAACTCGTCAAGTATATCCGATAAACTAAAAAAATGTTCAGTTTATGAAGTCTTATATAACTTATTCAATCAACGTCATATTCATAAAAACAAAAATCTTTAATCCTTTGTTCGACATCTTTTGCTTAGGAATGCTTGCTTAGCAATGCTTGCTTAGGAATATTACTTAGGAATGCTTGCTTAGGAATATTACTTAGGAATGCTTGCTTAGGAATATTACTTAGGAATGCTTGCTTAGCAATATTACTTCTAAGTGCTAACGATAGATTCAAGAAATTTACCTTGTCTCGTCGTCCAATTGCCCAGATTGAGCCATAACACGTAATGCCATTTCGGCAAGAAGTGAACCCTCGTCTCCAATTCCAAATTCTGAAGCACATCCCTAAATAAATTTTTGAACAAAGTTACCTTTACTACTGCTAATTGCATATTCAATTCATTAAGCATCTTTCAGAAGCACTAACCAAAAGCTCATTCGCTAAATCCTTAACTCCATGTTGACTTGTCGGCCTCTCTGTGAAGTATTTGTGCATCAACTGGATTGCCAGCATATATTTTTGATTCTAAAATATTTTTTAAGAGAATCTACACCAAGTATTGGTTATCTAACTTTTCCTGACAACATTGACGATTGTCGATATTTCAGTAACAAGCCAACAAGTTCGAGTTCGCCCCATGCGAAGAGTGTCATCGTCACCATGTAAGCGAATTGAGCCAGCAGAGCGCTAAAGATGGGAAATGAAAAAAAGTTAACGATATCACTCACTATTAAACTAACTTATCATCCAGGCTCCATGCGCGATGAGTTTTGATTAACGTCATCGCTTGTTGGAGAACAAAATGACCTTTTGCCTTCGAAGAAACCTGAAAAAGGCAATCATTTGCTATATTGTCAAATATATAATCAAATCAATTTATTCAAAATCTGGATTTTTTTATTGTTGAGTGACAAAACAACCAAATTAAACACAAGAAATGATACTTTTTATTCAAAAACAAGAAAAAACCCTCACCTTTGAGACGATTGCTCTTTGCAGTATAGTATTGAGAAATATTGGCACCATGATTTTCTTCGTTTGCGTGTTCAATTTGCTAGGAGGAACGAAGTAGCGACGAGATTTCTGAATTAAACAATGATAGTGTGTTTCTTGAAGCATTAAGAACATTAAGAACATTAAGAACAACTCTCTGCAAATTTCCAACCTGTTTATCCGAAGCGAAGAGCCACTTTTTCGTTAACTTAAATTCACATGACTTTCGGAGGCTTTCCTCGAGTGCTAAAAGATAATGAATAAGAAAATTAATAAGATAATGAATAAGAAAATTAATAAGATAATGAATAAGATAATGAATAAGAAGATGAATAAGAAAATTAATAAGATAATGAATAAGATAATGAATAAGATAATGAATAAGAAAATGAATAAGAAAATGAATAAGATAATGAATAAGAAAATTAATAAGATAATGAACAAGATAATGAATAAGAAAATTAATAAGAAAATGAATAAGATAATGAATAAGTTAATGAATAAGATGATGATTTAAGAGAATGATTTAAGAAAATGATTTAAGGGAATGACTTTTAAGAGAATGCTTGATTGGTATAATTTCCTTTAATTCACTTACCACAGACTTTCCCCAACTGATCCCATTGATGATGTTGAATGAGGCGATGAGTTTTCGTTAAGAACTTCGTGAAATCGTAGATGTTGCGTTGAATAGGACTAAAAAGTTATTACAAACTGAGAATGCTTTGCTCAGAAAGAATTAGGCATTAGAATTAGGAAAGAATTTTCGATTAGGCTTTTTTAAGAACTAAAATCTTACATCGTTCCTCGATCGTATTTGAAAGAAGAGAGAAAATATTGTGCCTCCGCCAATTTATGTTCGAATTTCCCCAAATCATACAATCTAAACAAATTGTATATGGCGTAGCCGTTTACGAAATTCAGCCGCTAACGAATGAGGGTATTTCCGGGCATCCAATCAAAAAGTCACCGACATAAAAAGTGTTCATAATACATATATTTTATAATAAATTTTTGAAATTCGCTCATTTGGTTCAGTAGAAAATTTTTTTTGAGCCCCAAAAGTTTAGGTTCAAAAATGCCCTAAAATAGCTATAAAAGATTTTCTACTCAGCCAAAAAACTTGCCTAATGGCTCATTTTGTAGCCAAATTGATGTAGATTCTTAAAGTAAAGCTACATTGAACATTTGTTTTTCAAAGCTAGGAGAAAGAGGGCGAAGAACGACTTCAGTTGAACTCGGTCGCTGTTTTCACATTTGAGAATTGTCCTGAATTTGTTCCTTGCCCTCTTTCTCCTACTTTCAACGAAAAATTGTTTTAGATGGCTTTACTTTAAGAAACTACATCAAATTGGCTACAAAATGAGCTATTAGGCAAGTTTTTTGGCTGAGTAGAAAATTTTTTATAGCTATTTTAGGGCATTTTTGAACCTAAACTTTGGGGGCTCAAAAAAATTTTCTACTGAACCAAATGAGCTAATTTCAAAAATTTATTATAAAATATATGTATTATGAACACTTTTTATGTGGGTGACTTTTTGATTGGATGCCCGGAAATACCCTCATTCGTTAGCGGCTGAATTTCGTAAACGGCTACGACATATATAAAACCAACGTTGAATCACTTACAATTTTGGTAAATTGAGTGGCACTTTCCCGTAAACATCTAAATAGTACGAGTTGATGCGACAACTAAAGGAAAACATTTTAGAACTCTTTTATTTAAAGAGTACCTCAATGATTGTTTATAGTCGAAGAAAGCGGGAATCCCATTAAGGCACATTGTTTCGCAACTCTCGATAGCGAATCTCTGAAAAATGTTAGACTTGCAAAATAAAGATCTGCTTAGATTCTTAAATCTGCTTACAACTTAAATTGCTTAGAAGCCTAGGAGCGCCAAATTGAAAAATCAAAAAGTAAGCGTAAAATTGCAGAAACTCACTCGATTATACTCATTTCTGAGACGGTGAGTTGCTTTTTCTACGTATTTCTGCATCAGTTTCAGCGTCGATTCGTCAGCTAAAGTAAAAAATGACAACACTTTAACAGGCTAAAGGATAAGAAGACTGGGCTCTTGCGTAGTTTCCGGGTAATTTGAACGAGTCGCGCACTTTGAAGGCCTATAACTTTCCCCAAAGATGATATTTTTGTTAACTTTTTATATCATTGTACAAAGAACATTTTAGGCTTTCAAATGATACTAAAGAGAGGTTGATTGGAGAATCGAATCCAAGAAAATTCGAGTCAACTCTAGGCAATTGAGGCCTATCCGATCCGAGTGTCGTTTGGCCTGGTTTTTATGGGAATGAAAAATCCAATCAAGCTCTATTTAGTATCATTTGAAAGCCTAAAATCTCCTATATTCAATGATATAAAAGGTTAACAAAAATATTATCTCTGGGCAAAGTTATAGGTCTTCAAAGCGCGCGACTCGTCCAAAATCGTTCGGAAACTACGCAAGAGTCGAATTTGATGATTTTAATGAGAAAAGAGGCACTATAAAGAAAATTTTTACACAAAGTGGTTATTTTGAGAGAGAGATTAGAGAGATTAGAAAGATTATAATGATTAGAAAGATTATAATGATTAAAAAGATTGTAATGATTAGAAAGATTGTAATGATTAGAGGTGATGCGGTAACAGGTACCTCCAGGCTCACCAGTTCCCGTACAACTACCTAATCTAGTCGGTTTTATATCATTGTATAGAGGACATTTCAGGCTTTCAAATGATACCAAATAGAGCTTAATTAGATCTTTCATTGCTATGAAAACCAGGCCAAACGACACTCGGATCGGATAGGCCTCAATTGCCTAGAGTTGACTCGAATTTTCTTGGATTCGATTCTCCAATCAACCTCTATTTAGTATCATTTGAAAGCCTAAAATGTTCTTTGTACAATGATATAAAAAGTTAACAAAAATATCATCTTTGGGGAAAGTTATAGGCCTTCGAAGTGCGCGACTCGTTCAAAATACCCGGAAATTACGCAAGAGCCCAGTTTATCCATTTTCTTTTCAAAACTTACTTACCTATTAGATCTTCGAGCGGTATTTTCGTGGCAATATCGCAATCGTAAACGCTTCTGGAGCTCACGTCCGCATTTCCTTGCTCAGCTTCTTCCTCCTCATCGTTTCCCGCTGTTGACATCTAAAATAGTGCAATTTAACGTAAAAAATCCAATCCAATCCAAGTCAAACCAAAAGAAAACTTTAAAAATCTTGAATTAACAACAAGAAATGGACTATTTCAGTCAATAAAGAAGGACTTTTCACTGAAAGCCTGAAAAATAAATCAGTATTTTGATCAAATCCACTTTTTAGCAGTTAAAGAAATGGAAAAGCAAAGAAATTCTCAAAATTTTATCCAGGAATAGCGTAAAAGCTGCTATTCTTTCTTGTTGTTGACTCAAATCCCGCAAATGAATGTGGAGAAAACACGGCAACTATGTGATACGAGTAACGTTTTTGCCTCAAAAAGGAGAAAAGGGGGAAGACGAAGGCTCATCAATGGAGAGAAAAGGCACACGCATCAATTCACCGCAAAAAAGGAAAGGAATCAAGGGGAATTCAGCGATGAAATGGGCTCTTTTCTTGGAGAATCACGCAAAAAAAAGGACACTAAAACCCTATGAAATGGCTAGTAGTGCGTTCTAAAATTGCTTAAGGTATAAAAGTTAAAAAAAACCAAAATTTAGACGTGTTACACCGATTTCCGCAAGTGTTTAATCGCTTAAACATTCTTAAACACCCTAAATGAAAGAAATTTCGAAAAATCCCTTTACAGTGGTCCACAAAAGTAATGCCCCATTTGCAAAGAATTAACAATATTTTTTAAAATCAATACTTGGTTGGTCCTCGGTTTGCTTTTATCACTTCATTGAGTCGATCCTGCATGGAATCCACGAGATTCTTCAAAAGACTTTGGTGGCCCAGAGACGTTGGCCCAGAGCCCAGAGACAGGATGGTGGCCCAGAGACGTTGAATGTGAACCCATAAGGCGGCGTTTGAATCGATGTCTTTCCCTTGACTTGCGACTTCACAAATGACCAGAGATGCTCGATAACATTGATATCCGTTGACTAGGGAGGCGGATTGATCAATTTGACTCAACTTTCCGCAAACCAGCCCGGAAGTCGTGCTCGTGTACCATTCTGAAGAGTCACCACCGTTCCCATCATGAGCCTTGACTTATGTTTCGGTTCGTTGTCCTGGTAAAGCATCCATCCAGGAGGCATCGTCTGTGTGGCAAAAGGAAGCATTTTAGTCTTCATAATGTTCTTGTAGGCCACAACATCCATCGTTGAGTTGACATGAACTAACGAACCCACCGAAGTTCGTGACATAGCTCCCAAAGAAAAACAGTCAGATAACAAAATACTAAAAAGGCTCTCACCCCCAACACATTATATTTCCCCCGTTGAATTTCACCGTAGACTGAATGTACTTGAGTGTGTATCGCTTTCCAGTCGGTCGCCGAATGAGATGATTTCCGTCCGCGTGAAATAAATTGATTTTTGCCTCATCGGTAAATAACATAAATGACACTTTCGCCCAATCACGTGTTGCGCAACTTTGGTAGGTCCGTGCAAAGTCCTGCTTCCGGTGCTTAGAGTTCATCAGAGGTTTACGGGCAGCCCATCTTGCATATAATCCAGCTTGATTTAATCGTCGTCTGATCGTTTCCGGCGAAACAATGGGCAACAAATCCAGGCCAGCCAAAGCCAGGTCATATGCATATAATCCAGCTTGATTTAATCGTCGTCTGATCGTTTCCGGCGAAACAATGGGCAACAAGTCCAGGCCAGCCAAAGCCATGCTCTATGCATATAATCCAGCTTGATTTAATCGCCGTCTGATCGTTACCGGCGAAACAATGGGCAACAAGTCCAGGCCAGCCAAAGCCATGCTATATGCATATAATCCAGCTTGATTTAATCGTCGTCTGATCGTTTCCGGCGAAACAATGGGCAACAAATCCAGGCCAGCCAAAGCCAGGCCATATGCATGGCGTTTGACCTGGCTAGCCATGGCTTCTAGCTTTTTGGAACAGCCCTGATCATTGTACATTGAATTGATTACAAAGGCTTTTTGAAAGTGATGAAAGTGACTTGAGAGAAATCATGGATCCCTATTCGCAACTGGTAAAGTTCATGGTTCATGCCACAGAAAGGCAATGCTTCCCTAAAGTGCACTTTTCGAAAGCCAATTATTTATGTCTGCTCCGCGAAAAAACAACCATTAGCTTATGGTTAAACTTTTTGAAAATGAATCACAAACTTAAAGTGCGCTTCAGAGAAACGAGACTCGTATGGAAGTTGTCTGAGAACTCGCAACAACTGAGGCTTTACATGATCGTTGATATTGTTTCACGTCGTAGAAAGGTACCAGGTCTATTCAGCTTTGAATTCTACGAAAATTGCAAAAGTTATTGGATTAAGAGCTTGTCACAAGTTATAGCTCTATAGTGTACCTAAGTGTACGCTGTTCTACTAGTTCTAAAGTATGGTTCTAAAGTCCCAGCAATACTTTCTAAGTTTTCTAATATTAAGCTTGACATCGTCGGCATCAACCCTTTCTCATTTCCTGATACGATTTTTCTTACAAACCGGAAATGATCTCGTCGACTTTCATTTCCTCAACCCCTCTCACTCGAGAAATTCCGTAAAAGTTTTTGGTCAAGAAGCAAGAAGCAATCGAAAATTCTTCTAAAACTGACGGGCACGCGACAATTTTCTCGTAGAGCTTTTTGTGGACTGATAAGACTGAATGGGAGGCTTGTGTACACACAAAACGCTGCCCATTTCTCACAAAACGCTAAATAAGCTTAATTCTCATCACTCAAACGGCTAGCCAACGAAAACGCGTGATATGAATCGAGAAAATTTTAGCTCTTGAAATATGGCATCATCTTTGGAATTTGAGATTTGAAATTTAGCTATTTGTAAGCTAATATGGGAGATGGGAATTTTAGAGTCGGAAGAGACGAAAGAGGCTAATTGATTTAGTCATGTGAGGGTTATTGAAACTAAATTTGAGTCTTGTATGTGTCTTGTGTTCTTGAGTTGACGTTTTGTGTTGTGATCAAGGTTTTGTGTTGATGTTTGAGTTGATGTTTTGGGTTGTGATCATTGAAAGTGTGTTTTGGTCTTAGCTGCTGAGTCAACTTTAGAATAATATAATGTTTATGTTTATATTATGTTTATAATGTTTTTAATATTTTGTTAATATTTTGTTTGTTTATATTTTGTTTGTTTATATTTTGTCTGTTTATATCTTGTTTGTTTATATGGGGGTGGGACAAATGCGACCTTTTTTTTTGCGCACCTGGACATTTGCGCACCTTTTTTTTTGCTGGAAAAGGCCTTAGGAAAAGTCGTAGAGCTTCAAAAATGTTTCCATAGAAGGGAATCGTATGCGTAGATTCAGAATTTTGACAAATCAGACCTCGCTGACACGTCAAATTTGGGCTAAAGGCAAAAACTGCGGAAAAGCGTTAAGCTGCGTAGTTTTTGCCTTTTAGCCCAAATTTGACGTGTCAGCGAGGTCTGATTTGTCGAAATTCGGAATCTACTCATACGATTCCCTTACATGAAAACATTTTTGAAGCTCTACGGCCTTACCTAAGGCCTTTTCCAGCAAAAAAAGGTGCGCAAATGTCCCACCCCCATATTTGTTTTGTTTATAGTTTGTTTGTTTTATTTGTTTTCTTTATAATATTTTATATTTTGCTTGTTTTATTTTGTTTGTTTATATTTCGTTTGTTTATATTTTGCTTGTTTATATTTGTTTGTTTATATTTTATTTTATATTTCGTTTGTTTATATTTTATTTTATTTATAATATTTTATATTCTCTATATCAATATAAATCAAAACCAAATAACACAAAAGAAAAAAATAATCAGCGCTGAGCAGTTTCCAAATCGATGCACTAGGTTGGACTTGAACATTATGCAAATTTTACAGACAAAGCAAAGAAGTTCTATAAATATTAAAAAATAAAAAAGAAAAAGCTAATAAAAAAAGTAGAAAAGTAAAAAGTAAACATTATAAAGTAAACATTTTAAAGTAACCATTATAAAGTAAACATTATAAAGTAACCATTATAAAGTAAACATTATAAAGTAAAAAAAAGCCCAAAAGTAAAAGTAAAAAGCAAAAGCTAAAAGCTAAAAGCAAAATTCATAAGAATTCCACTAAAATCAATCTTCAATTCAGCTAGAAACGAATCATAGCAAATCGAAAATCAAACAAAAAATAGAATTCTCAAATTCTCAGAACAAATTCTCATAAGCCTTTTTGAAAGATATGCATGTTTTGAGATCCACCACAAAACAATGTGAGACGACTTTGGCAGTCGGGGATACACACACACACACACACACACGAAAGAAAGCAATTCAAGAAAAAGCAATTCAAGAAAAAGCAATTCAAGAAAAAGCAATTCAAGAAAAAGCAATTCAAAAAAACAAAAACAAACACTTTAAAAAAATAATCTTTGATAGAAATAATAGAAATTTGATATATCAACCAAGAAAAAAAAAATCATTGTGTACAACAAAATTCGGACAAAAAACTGCGAGTTTCACTCAACAATGAACCCTCTAAACAACTTTATTTAAACTTGCCGTAAATACTGTAATAGTTCCCCCGCCCCCATAATGACAGTGCGGAGCGTTGCGACGCAAAACAAACCACCTCCATAATGACAGAGCGGAGCGTTGCGACGCAAAACAAACTTGGTTCCTTATCTCTCTAAATTTGGCTCCTTATCTCTCTAAATTTGGTTCCTTATCTCTCTAAATTTAATTCCTTATCTCTCTAAATTTGCTCGCTCTTATCGAGCGAGCTTTGGACGCGTTTTTCTCGACGCTCGTTTATGCTACAATGCGCTTTGGTATCAAAAATAGCTGAAATTCAGGGCTATTTTTTGATACCAAAGCGCGCATTGTAGCATAAACGAGTGTCGAGAAAACGCGTTCAAAGTTAGACTACGCAACACCGTCATTATCTTTGGTATCAAAAAATAGCCGAAATTCAGGGCTATTTTTTGATACCAAAGACGCATTTTTGAAAGTATGGGCGCTTTGCAAAAAAAGAATACTAAAAAACTTTTGCGACTACGCGACTGTACGAGGGAGGTGGGGGGTACTATTACAGTATTTACGGTAGGTATTTAAACGAACGACGCGACGCGAACGAGTATTCTTCTACGGGTCTTCAAGTTGTTTAAAAGGTTAAAAGCATAGACAGGAAATTGCAAAAATAAAAAAAGAAAATAGAATTAACTAAGCATTTGCTTGTAAATAAAACATCTATGCAACTAGGGCTTTATGGAAATTTTCCCTTATAGAAATCGGGGGAATTCTATAAGGGAATTCTATAAGGGACAAATGTGACAAATGGAAATCTTTGAACTCCCAAAGGCACTGGAGATTAGAGTTTATTCCTTGCGAGTAAGTCAAATTTGAACGAGTATATAAGCCTGAGCTCGTATATAAGCCTGGCCGTATATAAGCCTGGCTCGTATATAAGCCTGGCTCATGTAAGCCTGGCCGTATATAAGCCTGGCTCGTATATAAGCCTGGCTCGTATATAAGCCTGGCTCGTATATAAGCCCTGGCTCGTATAAGCCTGGCCGTATATAAGCCTGGCCGTATATAAGCCTGGCCGTATATAAGCCTGGCCGTATATAAGCCTGGCCGTATATAAGCCTGGCCGTATATAAGCCTGGCCGTATATAAGCCTGGCCGTATATAAGGCGGCGATTTTTACACCAATTTACCGCAATAATTCTCGCTAAAAGTACGGTAATTCTTTCCAAGTTTAAAAAAACCCATTACTCGCAAGGAACACACTCTACTGGAGATCATTGATTGATATGTCGAGAGAGCGGGGAATCTGGTTGAACAGTGAAGCTGAAAACCGTCCGAGGAAGCGTCCGAGGATGCCTGAGGAACCGGAGCTCTTCAGTGATTCGAGTGACACCTAAAGAATGAAATTAGTCAATAGAAAGCCTGATAACTAAAAAGTTGTGAGTAATATTTGTGATTAACATTTGTCACTAACATTTGTGATTAACATTTGTGACTAACATTTGTGACTAACAAGGGAAGATCAACCCGAGTGTGGTGACCAAATGACATGAGCT